TTAGGAATGATCTATTCGGTAATTAAATCACCAAAACCTTAATGTTTAAATCGTTCCGTCGGATATATGGAATGATTTCACTAAACAAAAGTATGTTAATCTGGATGATACAAATAGAAAGTTACTAGGACGTCTCTCCCAAATAACTCAGTACTCTTTAGAAATGCCGTTATACTTTTAAAAACAAAATTATTTTAATCTTGAAACCATCTTAAAATTAATTTTTCAATATATAATTTGCGTAAAAATTGTGGGCAAATTGATCCTACACTATCTCCATGTGCCAAACTGTTTGTCCCATGACAATACTACGTATTAATTCATCTCTACTGTACAATATCTAATCCAAAACATAGGTTTGATATCGTAAGTTGAGAGAAATGGTGATCATGAAATTTAGAGTATGTAACTTTGATGACCATTACAAGCTTTTTCACTGTTTTTAATACACATATTTTTTTTTTGTTATTTTTATTAAAACCATTAAATTAGTATTGAAATATTATTCGTAATCTAAAAATGTAATTCCGACTCTAGCATGATATCTAGTTAATTCATCTTTATCTATTTCTTCTATATATTGTAAAGTGCGATAAGTTCTTTGTAATAAATCTGATGGAATCAAATATATATTTTGTGAATGTGAAGCTAAACCACGGAATAAAGAGATTAATAGTACAATGGAGGCTGCAATATATATATATATTATATATAAAAGTTAACTTAAATAATTTGATGTTTAATTAACAATAAACAAATTCTACAACCCACCTCTCCTAACTTCGACTTCCTTTTGAATATCCAAAATATTTAAAGTCCAATCAACAACATCCCGAAACCATGTTGTTAGGGCTAATGGAGATGTTTCACAAGCAAATCCAATTATACTCAATGCAGATACACGTAAGTCTACGTTTTGATCTTTGTTCAGAACATTTAAAAGTGGTGGAAGAATGATTGCAACTGTAATAATAAATACGTGTAATTAAAGGTTTTAATAATGACAACAATAATAAAAGCCACATTAATTATAAAATTAACTCGTGTATAACTCACTATATTTTCCAAGTGCTTCTCCACATCTTCGAATAGTTTGTAATATTGCTTCCCCGATGCGTAATCGATTGTCAATATTTTGTTTGTCATTCGAGTAAATTACCATGAGTTTTCGCATGATCTTTTCTCCATGAACGTCTGTTAATGAGGATAACCCTTTGACAGCATTTAAATAAATAAAGCTATTGATAAAATATATATTATTATTATTAAAAGAACTACATATTATTCAATAATCATCATGCATACTTAAATTAATTAATTAAATTGTTTAAAATAAAATACCTTTCTTCATCTTGAACCATTTGTATAAAGATATCCAATACTCTATTTAAATTCACAACTTTATCCATCAACGGATCCTTTTCAAGAATCATTTCCTTAAGCATTAAAATTCCGCGAGCTTTTATAGGTAAAATCTCATCTTGTAATGCATCCATGGCTTCTTGGTATTTTTTTAATGATTCTTGTCGTCTAATAGATTCTTCCGAATCATTTTTAAAAGATGAAACTTTAGAGGCATTACGTGCTGAAACCGTTAAACGAATATTACGGGTTAATGATTGGATTGAAGGTGATGAATGATTTTGAAGAAGTTCCAGGTTATCAAAAAATGAATCCTGAATTGAAAGATTTTTATGTTCTATTATCATGAAGCATTGATAGATTAGAATTTTGATTTTAAAACAGTGATTAGTAAAAAAAACTTAAAATTAACAAATAAATATCAAGAATATGACTTCCTTACCTTCCAATAGAGATGATAGAAGTGTTAATGCTAGATACAATAACTCGTCGTCATCATTTACCTCGGAAGAGACTTCATCACTACTATCTTCATCCTTAACAATGTTACTCAAGTCATCCAATATACAAGAACGTGTACTTTCTTTTCGTTCCTCCCGGTTAGCATCCTTTCGATGATAACCCTCGAGCACGTTATTAACAAATGCAACCATTTGTTCAGGTTTTTGTAAAATGGAAGAACCAAGGCAATCGATCATCGCCAAAACGAGATGGAGTAATGTAAGAATTCTGTAATAAATATATATATAATATCAATATTTGTATATAAATAATAGGTATAATTTTGCGTCGATGATTTGAGCGAGACACAAACCGTCTTGAATCTCCTTTGTATAAAGAATGCTGTTGAGCTAATGAATAAGTATATTCTGTAAGTAAATACATAAAGAAATCTCCAGATAATTCTTTATTTGCGATTACTTTTAGGAAATTTATAAAAATTTCAACGTCTATTGAAGTTTTCGTATCTGATAAATTCAATGCATTTCTATAAATACAAAGAAAATATGAGAATATCCTTTGTAAAAAAAACTCTCAAAACATAATAGAACTTACAATCGCAATCTCATCACTGCGCCACCAGAAGATCCGGGAGCAAAATATGCTTCGCATACTTCTCCAAACTCCGGAGCTTTCCATTTTTTATTTTTCCTAAATACAATTTCCTTCAATGTCTCGGTAGCTTCACTTACTGATACAATTCTAAAATAAGATAATAATATATCTAATATAATATCTTTCAAATAAGATTTTGAAGAACAAGTAAAGGCATATAGATGATATAAAGGCGCTACTGCATCCTCCAAAAACATGTGTATCAAATCAGGTACAGGTTCACTGCCAACCAGGATTCGATGTATTACAGTTATAGTGGATTGTAATGTTTGTTCATCCATGATCAATGGGTCAAGTTCAGAGGATGTAGTAAAATTGTTTTGAACAATTTTTCTGTGCTCTTCCGAAGTGATGCCCCACCATTTCCATAGTGGACCAAAAATTTTTAATATTATGAACTTTTTGGTCAACGTTGGATATTTGTTAGCCATCCTTACAATGGTAAACGAAGAAACATTGGCAATTGGTGGTATCGAATTTCCCGAAGAATTTGAAATCGATTGAACTAAAGAAAGTAATTGGGGACATATTACTGAAAGATATTGCTATAAAATAAAAAAAAACAAATTACAGTATTAATAATATAAAATGATGCCAGTCATAAAATACATCGAAAAAGTTTAAAGACATACTTCTGTGGATTTTACTTGATTTGGAACAGATAATATTAATTTGGAAATTGTCTCCAATTTAGTTAAGTTAACTATTAATAAAAAAAAAAAGGTTTAATCATTTTCGACAATAAGAGATGAACTTCAAATTTAGTGATGAAATAATAACCTTCGCCTTCGCCCCCAATCATAAAATCTATAACATCCCTTATTCCATTCGGACGTAACAAAATTTGTGATAAAAATCGACCACATACACTTTTAAACCATTTGGCCGATTGGTGAAGCGGAGAGGAACTCAATAACATGATCAAAGCTTCCAGAGATTGAAAAGAATCAGCACTAAAATAAATTTTTAGATGAACTGAGAAGTTGATAATAACTATTCATAATGTGATAATATGACTTACCTCTCGAAAACTTTTCGAACCATTCCTATACTCTCTTTGTGCATCCTCTCAATTTCACCTTCATCCAAACCTTTTGTCGCCTCCTCCGAAGTTATAGAATTCACAAGAATTTGTTCGACATTATTGTCGTTACTTTGAGGGGGGGTCGCAACAGGTTTTCTTTTTGATAAAGGTCCATAAGCTAATTGTAACAACGCCGCGTATACATCCGCAAGATACTTTGAGAATAAAATAGATGACACGGATGTATACATCCTCGGTTTACTTAATTCAATAAACATAATATTTGTTAATGATTTCATTAAATTATATAATTGACTGTATAATGAAAATGATGTTTTTTTATTTTTGATCATTTTTTCCACTGTTGATAAATCTTGCAAAAGTTCTAAAAATGTGTGAAGTAGTTTAATGAATAATTTTGAAATTATAAATAATTGCCAAAATCATAAATCAATAATACTTTTAAACCTCAGAATGTTAGAAATTTATACCATTCTGAATATATCCTGATCTGGTCCTCCTTGAGAGTGGAACACCAACGCCTGATAATAAACAAGGATAAACTCCCCAAGTTATAACTATCTCTAACATTGTATGAATAAGCCTTAGATCTCTAACACCTAAGAAATCGGGTTCTTTTTCTAGCGACTTGGTATTTTCAGTTTGTTTTTGGTCTTTTTTTATTTTTAATAGAATATTAGTTAATTAATTCCATAAAATTCGAATTAATCAATTTGTTTTCCAATACCTTTAAGATCATTAATATTTGTAAGGGTACATTGTAACAGTTCCAAAGTTTCCAGACATTTTGCCACGAAGAGTTCTCGCACAATATCTTCGTCAAGAATAGAATTTCTGATTTGAAGCTTTCGTGTTTCTAATTGCTTTGCTGCTGAAATTTCAGCTAAATCAAGTTCGTTTTTCGGCGAATCATGTATAAAAGATTCGAAATTATCCAATCTAATTCTTAGCCTCTCATGAATTGAACATGCTAAATAATAATCAATCATAAGCGAAAAATAAAGGAATATGGAAAAATGAAAATTCCGTAATAAAGTAATTACCTTTACTCTCTTCTTGTGTATTTCCTACTAAAATATGAGCTTGATGTAATAAGTCAAGAAATTTATTATCAAGAATCTTTAGATCCATTTTCAATGAATCGGTTCGTGCACTTTCGCGACCTGAACCAGTAACTAATTAATATGCATTACATAATCAATGTTCCGAATATTCCCGAATTAAAAAAATAATGATTCAATTGATTGGCAATTCACGAAATGTGTTCTTTTTCCTAAAAATAATCCACACGAACAAGCATCAAACGCTCAGTTTTTGCTCGTTTTCTTTTTTTTTTATATTACAGTATTAGGAAAGAATAATTAACCAGATAAGAAAATATTTTTTTAGAATTTTCCTAATTCAAGCCGATACGATCACGTGTATAGACGTTCTAAATATAACGCGTTTGTTTACAATTTTCGTGACATTTTACTCCATGAAAGTTAAACGAGAATTAAGCTCGCCAAGACGCTCACCGAGATTTAACACTTCACCAAAACGTCGTCGAAGTTTTCTTGTATGCGTTTTATTTAAAGTACACAACTATTGACGCAATTTTTAGCTAATAAATTCAAAAACCTTAAAACCTCAAATTTTTAGTTACCGCCTCCTACTCGGAGTATTTTAAAAAAAAATGATGATACAACAAATTTTGATATTCTACAAGACGAGAATCTAGCCACAAATGTTTTAGATTCATTATGGGAAACGGACATGACAGAGAAGTAAGATAATCAAGGTTTAAAATTAATAATTTCTGAATAATTATAATTTTTTCTTTTTTTAAAAAAAAAATAGCGTTGATGGGCAAAGGCGTAGAAAATCTATAGGAAGAAGAGTCAGCTTTGCTTCAAAAGCTCGCGTTCGGTAAATATGTGTATTAATTAATAATGTGTAGTTTTTGTAACTTTAATTTACTTCGCGTAAATATTTGTTTCGAATATTCGAACTTATGATTTATTTGAATGCTGAGATTTCAGTTTATTTGATAAATATGAAGTTGCGGGACAGCAACCAGCAGATCAAAGTATGACAAGTTCTTTAAATGGTGATCGAGATGAGACTTCGGAGTTTATGTTGACAATTAATACGCAATCTCCAGAAAATATAGACTTAAAACCCGAAGAAATGAAATTTATGAGGGTCGATCAAAACAAACAACAAATTGATGAAGTTGCGGAACAACAACAAGCGGAGTCAATTGTATCAAATCCTTTATATGGTGATAAAAATGAAACTTCAGAAATTGTGTCGACGATTTCTACACCATCTCCAGAAATCAATGAATATAAAACCGAAGAAATAAAAGAAATAAGAACCTTGACTGAGGAACAAAGTCAACAAATTGATAAAGATGTAGTTGCGGAACAACAATCAGGGGAACCAATAGTATCAAATACTTTGAATAATGATCGCGATGAAGCTTTGGAATTTATTCCGATAATGTCTACACTATCTACTGAAGATATGGACTTTCAATCCGAAGAAATGAAAGCCTTGATTGAGAAACAAAATCAACAAATTGATAAACATGAAACTGCAAAACAGCAACCAGCAGAGCCAAGCATATCAAAATCTATAAATGATGATCGCAATGAAGCTACGGAATTTATGTTGACGATTTCTACACCATCTTCAGAAATTAATGAATGTAAATCCGAAGAAATAAAAGTGTCTTTAACTAAGGAACAAAATCAACGAATTGATAAATATGAAGTCGTGGAACAGCAAACAGTAGAACCTAATGTATCAAATCCTTCAAATGATGATCTAGATGAAACTCCAGAAAATAATGACTTTGAATCTGAAGAAATGAAATTAATGAGAGCTTTGGTTGAGGAACAAAATCAACAGATAGAAATATTTGAAGCAGAATTCGAAAATATTAATAAAGAAATGCAAACTCTCGGGAAGAAGCGCGGTCATCTGATAAAAGAAAAAGTGGATATCGAACAGGTAATTGTAATCATTAAATATCTTTGCTTCGGTTAATTTATCAATAATTTGATTTTAAAAATAAAATTTTAATAAAGAAAATCCGCGACGCCAAGCGACTTGTAGAAGTGACTCAATGCTATACCGAGAAAGACCTACATGATGTGCAAGGTGAGCATAAGATATCAAATGTTCTGCAAATTTGAATAAGATCAGAGAAACTGAAAGATATTTTTATATAACCATTTAAGAGCAATATAGAGCTCTCGTTTCTAAACATAAATGGAACCCCAAAACGTTATCTGATGAGCTTGTACATTTGGAGTATGATGAAACTATACAGGTTAAAATTGACATTAGAGATTTGCGTAAACGTGGTGACACAAACATTCCTTTTGTTGAAGTATTACTTAATTTAAATGACAATATGAAACCTGAAGAAAAACTATATGTGAGAATTTTTTTTAATTAAATTTTTTATTTTTTTATGGTTATTGATATAAATCTAATATAATCTCTTGTGAATATTAATTTTTGGTTTAACTAGTACCAAATTATTTTTGATGGAGTACGAGGATTTGCTTTAAATTGTAAAGGACCGATAGAAATCACACAGGTAAGTAAAATTTAATCGTTAGTAAGAATTAATTAGCTGAATTATTGATAATATTTTATAATTTAATTAGTGTTCCAAAATTATAAAACCAATAGCTGATTATTGGGAAAATTCAAGACAACTTTATAGGGATTATCACGTTCTAAAATTTAAATTGCCAACAGAAATTATTAGTGGCAAAATCCATAATGATAAAGATAATAATGGCAAAGAGATTATTATGAGATTTAGGGTAAATTTTTTTAATTACAAAGCTAAAACGAATTTTCACATAAAATTTTCTCTTCAATGGGAGGACATTGTTAGATATCCAAATGTTTCAAATATGTTATGGGAGATTGAACCTATTTATGGCAAAGTAAAGTAAGTAAAGTTTTAAATTCTTCTAATAAGCTTAGATTTGATTTACTTAATTATGATCATGCTTATTTTTTTTATATAGCGAATCCTTTATCAAAGAATCAATTAACGAACACTTTTCAAGTAATGTCATTGGATGTATCAAAAATGCTTGTGTTATTATACAGAAACAAGTGTTTTAAATAGTTGGAGGAACATTTTTGTTTTTTAAGTTAATTTTTTATTTTTGAATTATATACATATCTTTTATGGTTTTTAAATATCTTAATTTTCGAATGCATTATTATTAATAATTACTAAGCATAATAAATTCGATTAAAACGAAAGTAGATAGCATATTAAAAAGATTTTAGGAAAACTAAATTAATTACTTACCTTATTTCTCCACTAAGAAATGAATGTAAATTCCTTTTATATATTATTTACAGTATTGTATTTTTCATATTAGTTTTTAAGGATTCTATCGATTTTATTCAATTTTGATAAAATAAGGCAGGGAAAAAAAAAACTTTCTATGAATATTGAATACTAAGAATACAGAATACAGAATACATATTCAACATAAAAATAAAAAAACAACTATCTTAACATGCATTTCACTTCATTCATATAAAATATAAGCCAAATGATCAAAAATATTTCTAGTAAGAATAAAAAGACAAATGGTCAAGTGGAAACTATTAAGCGAAAATATATACGTATAATGACATCTTTTACTTTTATTTATAATTTGTTTATTAATTCTTCTCTGGGATAAAGAGTTTGGCCGATATATCCAAACTGCAAAAAGTCTTTAACAGATGATTCGAATAACAAAAGGTTCTAGCTTCCTACAATATATTTATATAACAATTAAGCAGGCATTTCACGTAGAAGACTAATTGTTAATTATTGTAATTCATATAAGAACAAAATCTCTTATTATATATATAAAGTTGAAGTGTTCTAAGCGAACCTCTAATTCTAAAGGCTGCTGTTCGTTGTAATAAAATGTTCGGTAAAGTTTAACCAACTTTTAAATGAATATATTTTACTAATCGGTTTAATAATACTGTACCGATCAATCGGTTTGACTTGAGAAACACTAAAACCTGAAAATTCTGAATTTTTATATTTAAATCTTTTGCTTTTGGCAAATTTCAAATTGTATATAATAAAAGTGAAAAAAATTGTTATAACAAATAAGCAATCAATCAAATTTAAAAGTATGCTTGCTAATAACCGTTGATCCTGAAGGAGAAAAGTGTAATTTCAAGAGGAAGAGAACTTTCGTAGAGGAGTCTCTATCTAAGATCTTGTTCTAAATAAAATAAATATTTAAAATTTTATTTTTATTTTAAAATAAAAAAAAATTGTAATTTAAAATAAACTTACTTTCGCGTTTCATCAGGTTAATTCGCCTCTTTTCTGCAACACGAGATACTAGAAAATGTAAATAAAATCGAGTTGATTATTCTATAATGATATTTAAATAGAACTTTTATTACACTTACCCGGCCTTTCCCAAAATGGTATCTTAAATTCTTCAGCGAAAATTTCTCTTATTAATGACCATTTTCCTTTCGGGTTTCCTTCTTCATAAAGATGAAACGACAAAAATATCAAAATTATTATATACATTTATTAATGCAAACAAATAAATATCCTTTTATTAGTATTTTACTTACTTTGCATTCTTTAATAATTTTTTTAAACTTCTCTCTACATTGGATTCCCGTACATCTAGTTCCTGTCTCCTCTTTGACTTTCACCGCAATTTCATTCCAGAAAGATATCTTAGATCTTTCAAAAATTCTATAGTCAATTACCATTCTTTCTCCTTCTTTCATCAATTAACGAACGAATTCATTTTCTTACCATTCAATTGTTAAAGGCATATTGATTTGGTTTAGTAAGTTTCGAATCATTTGCAAATTTATTTTTGATTATGACGTTGGTAAAATTTATAACTTAGGTAACCTTGACATATGGGTTGATTGCTAGGAAAATCAGGTTCCGGGAATTTTTTAACAAAATTGAGATTTTTATTGCATTTTAGTTTTTGATGTTATTAGATTAAAATGTATTAAGCTCTTAATTTAAGTGAAAAATTTCTCGGAACCTGATTTTCCTAGAAACCCTCCCATATACTTTTCATTATTTTGATTTTACATTCTATCTATAAACATATATGATTGGTTAATACCTTAAAAAATAAATCGATCAAAAATTTTGAGTATTACTATTGAAATACTGAATTTTTTATCCAGTATGGTAAAAAATATTTTAGTCCTTGTATTATTAAAGAATGCAATAAAGCTATAGACTGGTTGTACTTTCACAATAAATTGTAAAAATAAAGCTATTGCTAAAGAAACTTATAATCATTATAATATAGAAGTTTGTCAACAACTTTGCCATAGTCACTATTTAGAAATTTGTGAACCAGATCGGTTATACGAAGTATAACAAAACCGAAAATAAAAATTCAAAAAAACTTATAACAAAGAAAACCATCAACAACAGAAATTTTACACCTAATATTATAAATCAAGATGTTTTATTTAGATTTATCTACTGCAATACCATTACTTACTGAAGTTTTACGTGAAAAGAGCATGCAGGTTTAATATTAAATCCAAAGGCTTTAAAATTATGACCGAAGAAGCAGATTTCCGTTTAATAGGGTTTTTTTTTGATATGATGGTGAATGCGATAATACCTAGTACACAAAAATGAAGCAAAGTAACAATTTGTTACATTTTTTAGCAGCACAACGAAATATGTTTGTTAATGAGTTTATATTAAATATTGGATTATTTTTAGATACAACTGGTCAATTAATGAGTCTATAGATGTAATGCATAAAAATCGTTCGTACTTATCAGACAATTAGAGATACAATTAGCCGGGAACTGCATTACAATGCACAAAATATCTATAATTTAAAGACTTTTTATTTTAAAAATCAAATTTCAAGCGATGTTAATTATTTTTAAAGAAAATTTGAAAAGCAACCAAAAAATTATTTTTGTATCTAATTAAAATAAATGAATTGTAATTATTAAAGTGCTGTGCCTCTCACATACTGTACCTTATGTTATCGTTATACAAGAAAATTGAAATAAAATTTTTTTTTTTTATTATAAATTATAACAATGTCTAATAGTAATTATAAAAGTAACAGTGTAATAAAGAAACTATAAAATATTTTCACCAAACAAGAAATAGGAATAAAGGTATGAAGTTTCGTATGACTAAAATGAGTTAATTTGAAGGTTTGATGATATACTAAAATCTTTCGGATGCTAAAAAAACTTCCTTATTAGAAGGTAATACATGTATTATTAACCTCACTCTGATTCATTTTTGTTTGCTAAAATTAAATTTTATCAAATTCGAATTTAGAATCAATTTCAATTGATGAAGGTAATTACAACAATTTTTATAAATAATTAACCAATACTAAAAGAATTTGTTAATTATATTTATAATGTAGAATTAATATTGGGTATGAAGGTGAAATATAATAATAACCATAATACTGTAATTTGTCATTTATGTTTTTATTAAAAATTTTAATAAACTTAAAATTTAGTACTAATGAAGGTAAATACAATAGCAAATATAATAAATCAACAAATATAATAAACTATTCAAATATTAGAAAGATTAAATGATAAAGAATATTTATAAATTGTTTAAATATTAGATTTTGCTATAAATCATATTAATTAATTTCAAAATTTCTTAAAAATAAATACATTATAATAGAACCAGTTTAGATATTCTTACATTAAAAGAATTAAATGGTAATAAACTTTATTTATTTAATATTTACTAATTATTTAATAATTAATATTTTTTTTTTTAAAAAAAAATTTTAATAATAGTAATACTTAGATCATAAACCATTTAATTTTATTATATTTTAACTTATATAATTTTAAATTTAATTAAACTATTATTCAAAAATGTTTAATAATCAACAATATTATAGGAAATAAGTTATTTATTTTTTACATTTTAATTTATTATATAAAAATTTCTAATAATAATTATTAAAATTTTAGTTTATAAGTTATTTATATTTATAATTTTTATTTAATATTTATTATAATCTATAAATAAAATTTTATTAAAAATAAAATATTAATAATTTAGATGATAAAATTAATTTTATTAATTCAATTAATTATATTTATTATAATTTAAATAAAAAATATTAATATTCTTTATAATCTTATAGGAAGTAAGATCTAATAATTATTTTTTTATTATAATTTAAATTAACTAAACTTTTTATTTAAAAAATAATTAATAATATAATAGATTATAAGTTTTTTTATTGATTATTAGTATTTATTATATTTGTTATTGTAATTTAAAATCAATTAAATTTTTTATTTAAAAAAATAAATTTTATTAGTATGTAAGTTTATTTTTATTGATTATTAATATTTAATTATACTTTTTATTATAATTTAAAGTCAACTAATATTTTATTTAAAAAAATAAATTTTATTAATAAATAATTTATTTTATTAATTATTAGTATTTAATTATACTTATAGTATTATTTTTACTATTATTATTAGTAGAATATAAGTAGATAACAGTCTTATAAGACTGTTACCTACTTACATTCTACTTACATTATACTGTTACCTACTTTGATACTTTTGATGCTCTGTGATTTTTTTGTAATCAAGTTATTATTCATTTATTTTTATTATTTTATGTCTTTTTTATTACTTTGTAACTATCTGCTTATTTTTAATACTTTAGTCATTAAGATGGCTTGACAATCTGAAAATTAGAGCTTTTTTTTATAGTTTAGTAAATATATTCAATTGCAAATTAATAAGTATTATTTAGTCAAATTTTAAAAGAAGCTATTATAGAAGTTATATAAGCACAAATTATAATAACATAACAAGATTTATAAGAAATAACTATTGCTTTTAACAATTGAAAAATTGTTATAAACAAAAATTAATTAGTATTATATTTATTACATCAAAAGTGAAAGTATTGATATGGAAAATAGAAGATATTAGATTTTAAAAGAGTGGATAGAAGAAGCAATTTTACATCATAAAGAACTTCTTAGAAAAGCTAAAATTCAAAATATTAAAATACTTACTTTTGTTACAAATTTTGTAATAGAAAATACAGCAGCAAAGTTTATTTAATTATATGT